GATTTAGAAAGCTCATAAAGTTCTTTACAAGAATAAGGGGATTTACCTTACACATTTTGCTTCAGGTTGTCCTTGGCACTGACAACTACAGAGAGGGCATGAAACAATGGTTTCATTATAAAATGCAGACAAGGAAACATAGGAAGTTGGAGTTGGTGATGCGCGAAATTGAGAGTATGAACAAGTCACATTATATGTTGCTACAACAAATCGAAACAACAAAAGAACATAAGGAAGATAAAAAAAGAAAAGAGTGTATAAAATAGAAGCTAAATTATGTTCACCTCTTCTAGTCAATGAAGGGGCAAAATTGGTGAACCCAACTTTTGCTCTTCCCAACTAGACCTTTGTTATAGCATTAGAAATTACCAACTTAGTGTGAATGCTAGTGGACTTACCAAGAGCTTGAGTTTGTCGCCGACCATTATCCTCAATAAACTTGCTCAGCACAACCTCAACTAGATCTCCACAAGTATAACCAACAAGCCCAAGAGTAAAATTTCTCGACATTGAAATATTTGTAGACATAGTGGAAGCACCAACATTCATTTAAAAAGCGGCACCAAACAAGTTCGGGCCTTGTGTAATGGATGATAATACCCCTCTTTTGCAACAATTAGCAACTTGCTTATTATAAGAAGCTCCAGGCATAAGGTCAACAATAACTAGCTTCTTTTCACAACAATGAGGAAGTTGCTTTCCCCTGAAAGCAGAACAATTGCCTTGTTCAGTAGTTTCAACACCCCACATATTCCAAATTACCTCATCACCCTGCCATGTCCAACTTAGCCTCCAACCCGGAGGCTCAATATGTTGGTACATCTGGTAATTGAAAATGACTACTCTCACCTGCAAATATTGTATAGAATTTTTAATTGTAGCTTTAAGCCTGGTGGTGAGCTAAAAGTAGAATAAATTTGGGTATGTATGTGTAAACACCCCATTTTTTACCACCCGCAAGGCTTGAGCGCTTAGTCCGATACACTCGATGATGAAAGTGGTATTGTGCGTGGTTTAAGGTCTCAACCAAGGTCAAAAACAATTCCAACCTTCCATATTTCCCTTGTTCATACCCCAGAAATCCAAGTCTATACATGTTGCCACTCCATGCTAAGTCTAAAGCAGAAAAAACAGGGGATGCCATGGAAGTCTGGCTGTGGCTACTGATGGTCGGCCGTGCCTTGGTAGCGAAAAACACTGTTCTGGGCAGAAGGCCGCCAGCTGTCCATTTTTAAAGATATTTATCACCTTTTGTTCTCAAATTCTATAAATACGACCATATCTCTCAATTTTGGGGGTTAAAAAAATTCTAAAGAGCCTATACACACATATAGAGCTCATTCTTCCTCCTTCATCCAAAGAAAGTTAACTTTGAGCCAACATATATTCCTTGTATCATCTCCATACACCATACACAACCTTGACTCACCACCTTAGAGCCTTGGTTGACCCTTAATAAGCATAATTCAAGCTTGAGAGTGTGTTAAGAGTGAGTTTGATCATCAACCAAAGCTTACTCCATTTTGAGAGGTATAAGCTTTCAACTCTTGTTTTTTCTTTTGTTTACTTCATCTTTGTCTATTTCTTGCATTCTTGGGCTGTTTTGCATCCATTTGAAGTGTTGGACCTTGGGTTTGGATAAGCTACCAAAGGTGGTAAGGTTAACACCCTTATTTACCCCTACCTCCATAGCTCAACCCTTGGTTTCTTTACACTTCTTTTCTTTGGCATTTGAACTAATTTTCAAAGTTGAAATGAGGCCCAAAAACATGGTTTGAAGTATTGAAATATGAGAGGATGGCCACCCCTCCTTGTTTCTGCTTACATAGCTCTATTGTCTTTGCTTTTTGCTTAGCTTTTAAAGCTCGTTTCTTATATTTTCAGCCACTGTTTTGGCTTGTTTAAGGTTGTTTTAGGGCAGTCTTAGTCTATTAAATTAGTTCATGCTTTAGTTAGTTTGATTGTTGTCTCATAAGTTTGTATACATAGCTTGTTGAATATTGTTTTTGGGTTTTCTTTGTCTAATTCTATATTTAAGAACCTCATTTTAACAATCAACTTGCTATTCATTTCTTTCATTTGAGAGTTGTTTCAATTGGTTGATGGTTATTCAAAGTATGAATTAGAGATTGATGCTTAATGGCTTAATCTCTTCGGCGATACATTGTCAACGGCATAGTCTCTCTTTCATGTTGAGAATTACTTCCCGTTTGATGCTTCTCTCCTTTTAGAGGACTTAATCATCACCTTGGACAAATGTACTAAATAATGGAAATGACTAAGAAAATTGGTTTAAAAGCAACCAACACACATAAAGAAAATGAGTCATATTGCTTGGATTTGGCCGGACGTTATGCCGAGTCTATTGAGTTACGGGCCGTCATACGCTAATTCATGATGTTTTGACGTCACTTGAAGCATCTCCACTTCCTTTTCTTTGAGCTCAGTCCATGATAAAGAGGGAAGGGTGGTCCTTGTTTATTGCATTCATTGATTTTTGTCCACAATTGCATCCGAAATTATCAAACAATCAGTTTGTTCGTTAATGGTTTTGGACTCAACTTCATCCTTCTCTTGAGCTTTTTCATGATAGAGAAGGAAAGAAGGGACAAACAGAGTTCAGAACAACTCTGTCTGCACTGTTTTCACTTCAGAGCACAAAATAGAGTTTTACACAAAATTAAGGCACGGTCGGCCCTCTGTGGACTCGGCCAGGTCTCATTAAGGCACGGTCGGCCTTCAGTGTTTGGTCAGTAGAGTATTTTGCAGAAAACAGGGGCAATGGCTGAAAGTGAAACAAAACAGACCGAGGCAAACATAGTGGTTCTCGGACGCTGTGCATGCAACCCTTGTGCATCCTTAATTAATTATGAATGTTGTAATTAATTAATTGTTGTTGTATTATTATTGTTTCTTTGTAATTGCTATAGCTAGTTAACTTAGGTAGTTAGTTTACTACGCATTCCCATATACTTGTTGTAATTAGCTTAGCTAAGTTAGTTATTATTTATTCATTCATTCAGTTTTATAATAATTAGTTTAATTCGGACTCTTGGACATTGATTCGCACCCTCTTGCACGAGGGTAACTTTGTAATAAGTGTGTAGGTCTTCCAACCCCACGTATTTCTCTCTTTTATTTCTCCGCTTATAAGGGTTAGTTTAGGAGCATCATATTTTGTTTAGCATTTCCCATGTTCAGCATCCACTTGTATTACACGCATTGAGGCTCGGTTCATCATACTAACTCGCATTGTTATTGCTTACATTCGTTGAATACGTGCTTAAACCACATGCTATCAAGTTGATTCACATGCCATGTTAAATAGCCAAGCCTATTTAGATTGCATTTTGTATGTATTATCACATCATTAGGATAATGCATGTTGTCTAATTATTTTATCTCTTTTGGCTTGCCTTGGAGTACCAGGTGAGCGTTTATCGCTTTAGCATATTGCACAAGTGTAGTTGTTGTCATGTCTAGCATACTTTCCATGAGGCTAATTGCTTAAACAATACAACTGTTTTGAAAGCCTGTGGATGAAAGCTAAATTGCCAAAATTGGGACAAATTGAGTAATGTACATTTAATCCCACTTTTTCAAGTAGCACATTCACAAACACTTTTTCGAAACAAACATGGAATTGAAATGTTCCAACTTTCGCAAATTAGTATATACCTTGTGTGCGCATCACATAGTAAAGTTAGCCTAATAATCGGAACAAGAGCATATAATGTAGGTAAGAATCATAATCATGATTAGTAGATGCCGATCTTTGATCGGGCGAGCGGGGGTGCTCAATTCATGACCTTCCCCTCTCGTACCTAAGTTCCCGAGCCGAGACACTCTTGGTGATGACGAATAAGTGGCCTTTGACACGAGTCTAGGGTTTCTTAAATTTTTCAAAAATATTTAGGTGGTGACTCTGAAATCTGGCAAAGCAATCCATTTTTGACATTTTGATTCAAACATCGATTTTCCAAAAGAATATCTGGATTTGGACTCTTTTGTGTTTTTAACTGTTTCACATTGCACTGGTGAAATCAGATTCAGAATCACGGAAGTCTAAACTGTAGGACTAGTCGTATCCGAAAGCACAAAAAGCCAAGCTATAGCATGTTAAAGGCCAACTAGCTTTTTTTGATGCCCTCCGTTCATGCCAGTTCTGAGGACCAAAACCTTCGACCCAAATAAAAAAATTATTTCAAAAGGTACATTTAAAATAGAATATATATGATATAAATTTAAATTTAATGTGGGGATTGTAATAAAGTCTCTTGGATTTCGGGAATAAGATTTTCAAAATATATTTGTTATTAAATATTATTGAAATATTTTGTAAAATCACTTAACTTTCTATATATATAAATTTTCATGCATCATTGTGGATCTTATTATTATTTCTAAAATGTAATCAAACTTGAATTACTTGGAAAAAAAAAAAAAATGAATACAGGTGCATCACATACATACAAATTATAACAAACAATAACTTACATCATCACATACATACAAATTATAACAAACAATAACTTACATCTTGTGTATCTTCATTCATTTGCGTAACATCTCATTTGCTAGTGATGTTTCCATTAGGATCCAATGGATCATATCCATTTGCATTTCCCACAATTAAATGCAAAAAGTCTCAAAGATTTTATAAAAAAATGCAAATTAAATCTATGATGTCTCAAACAATTCTAATTTGCTCCAACAAAAACTGAAGTATTTGAAGGATACTCACAAGTTAGTGCAAGAGAACCGATGAGAGAGAAGGAAAACACAGTCAATACCAAGCAGATTGGCCTTTGATCCATAAACAAAAATGGGTTCCAATCCATTTCTCTGACTCTCATTCTCTCTCCTCAATCTTAAGCTCTGCTGTTTTGTGTCACTCCTTATATATAGAGAGAGATATACAAGAGGAGAAAGAAAGAGAGACCATGCATTGCATATATACAAGAGGAGAAAGAAAGAGAGACCATGCATTGCATAGTTACATGTATGGGTATGGCTGTATGTATAATCTCATCTCTCTCTTTCATTTTCTCTCTCCGTCTCTCTATATATAAAGTATGGGAAATCTACACTTTTACCCTATAGTTGAACTTAAATTTCACATCCTATCATTTCAAGTTAAACAAATTGGTGACTACATTATAAGTTTAGTTTTTATTTGATAATTCTATCCAAATAGCCGTCAATTTTTTTCTATATGTATATTTTAGGAGATTGACATTTGTAACAAAGTCGCTATATTGAATTTGAATAAAATGATCAGATTGAAATTACAGTTAAAATGGAGAGATCAAATTGTTTAAATTAAAATTAATAAAACTAAAATAATATTTAAAACAAATTACAATGATAAAAAAAGTGTAATTTACCGATACAAAATGTATATATATGTAGATGTTTCTCTCTCTAAAACAAATAAATGAGAATTAAAGCTTCGTTTTTGCCATATTTAGGAGATGAGAATGCGTCTTTGTGGGATTGAGATCGATTTTTGACCTCTTGCTACTAACATTTCAATGAAAAATAATAAAAAATTTATATAAAGAATTAATCACAATAACGTAATAATAATATTTTTTAAATAAAAAATGTTATATAAACTAAACAAATTTTATAATGTTTAATTTTTGAACTAACAGATTTTATGTGAGTTTGTAGGGAAGAAATTTTGACATTTATAATACGGCAAATTTAAATAATATGATAGGGATAACTCATGCAAGTAAAAATTATTTGTAAAATTTGTTAGTTTGCATGGTATTACTTTTTTATTTATGTATAAATAATTAGCTATTTTAATGAGTTTTTGATGTGAAGTAAATAGGTACAAATTTGTGTATAGATAGTGATAGAGAGCTCTGATACTAAAGCTCTAACATGAGCTCTAGTGGAAGTATCAAAAAAAAAAAAAAAAAAGGAGCAAGCCAAAACATCACATCATCATGTAAGATCCACCATTAAAATTCTATTAGAACTCTTAAATTAGAAGTTCCAAACATTATTGTTTGTGTATATAGGTCTTTAGTATACTAATAATTTTGTTTGTATATTATTACTCTAAAAAAATATTTAAAATTTAAAATATATGAATAGATTATTCTAACTCACACTATGACTAATTTGATTATTTTGTATATTAATTTGTAAAATATGATTACTGTAGCTAACCCAAATCCAATCTTAAAAAAAAAAAAAAAAATCTAAATTTTAAGCCGCGTACTCAACTCAATATATATAAACTAATATTATTTTTATTTTTATTTTTTAAGACTTTTAAATGAATTGGACCATCCTAATAATTATTTGAATTTCGGTTGCCAAAATCTAATAGTAATATAAGTTTGGATCTTCTAATAACTTTCTCACTTTTTTGGGGGATCAAATAACTGTTTCACTTTAAGACATGAATATTTATACTTGTCTTATTTATGTATATAAGGATCATGAAAAAAAAAATATCATGAAAATAATTATGAAAAATTTTTTACCTTTAGATTATACATATAATAAAACACTACACACTAATCAAATAATAAAAAATCTTCATAAAGTATTTCATGATTTATTTTTTATGATCCCTAATATTATTCTTTAAAGTTTATTATGTAATTACAGAATATAAAATTAAATGGCTGACTGGGCTAGACAGAGATGTTATAGAGATCGTCGTTCCAATGGACTAAAAAACTCAATTCATCTTGATTTTATGGGCCATATACTTTTTTAAAACAATTAGGGCAAATTACAAACACACATTGAGATTTGCTTAAAATACGAATTGTTCCTGTGGTTTGTAAAATTACAAATACTTCTCTGTCAGATTTTCTAATTTAATAGGATTAATTAAAAAAGTGAAATTTCTAATTGTTCTCCTATACAATAATAAAATTATCTAAATTATTAATTGAAATAAAATTTTAACATTATTAAAAACTGTTAATCAACTTGATGGTTTATTAATAAAATGACTTATTTGTTATGAAATTAGAAATCTTAAGGGGCATAATGTAATTTTTAGAATCAAAATGGTAATTTATAATTTAAGTAAACTTTAGGAGGTGTGTTCGTAATTTACCCAAACAAAACTGGACTGTGTTTTTTATTTTATGGGCCAAACACATTTAAAACTGTAAAAATATTGAACTGGATTGGGTGAATTAAACGGCCCATCAGGTACAGCGTTCAGGGATTAGGCTTTGTAAAGGGTTCAAGAATTGGGCTAATGAAAGATGTGTGTTTGCTTGAATAGTGGCTAAAATTTTTAAGATACGAATATGGTACGAACAAAATACAAAATTAAGGTGGAGAGACGATTATAAATCAAAAATTTTACCAAACAAGTTTTTATTTGATTTTTTAAAATTTTTGTAAATATAAATAGAAAACTGAAAACATAAGTGTTACCAAACGACACCTAAAGATTTCAAACTGGACTGTGTTTTTTATTTTATGGGCCAAACACATTTAAAACTCTAAAAATATTGAACTGGATTGGGTGAATTAAACGGCCCATCAGGTACAGCGTTCAGGGATTAGGCTTTGTAAAGGGTTCAAGAATTGGGCTAATGAAAGATGTGTGTTTGCTTGAATAGTGGCTAAAATTTTTAAGATACGAATATGGTACGAACAAAATACAAAATTAAGGTGGAGAGACGATTAATATATAACAAAAATAAAATAAAAAAATAATTTGATTGAAGATTAATTTTTATGTTTTCAAAGTAAGAAATCAGTAAATTATCAAACAATAGCTTAGAATTCATATTTAAAAAAAAAATGCCATCATTGATTGAAGATTAAAAATAAAAGAAATTTATTGACTTGAAAAATAAAATGCAACGTTATAACCACAAAGGTGAGAATATAATTTTCAAAACGTCAGGAGGTGGATAGTAATTGGACTAAACCTCAAGGGGTGTCAATGTAATTTACCCATAATTTAATTATTTAAGTTACATATTTATACGTATATAAACACAAGTATGTACATTTGTATACATATATTTAATTGTCTGTTGTTTATGTCGTAGCTTTAGGTGAGCAGTTTCCTATTTAATCGGTAATTGGTAACAGTGCCCTTAATAGTTCTTTGTGAGTTAATGCATGTACTAAAACCTATCGGAAACTTGCTGTTGTGATGCAGGGAGCTTTACAAAAATAACATTCAAGGTACAATCCCTGTTGAGCTAGGTAACTTGAAGAGCCTAATCAGCTTGGATTTGTACAACAACAACATCTCAGGGATCATTCCTCCTTCATTGGGGAAGTTGGAATCTCTAGTGTTCTTGTGAGTATGACCTTATCATCTTGTTAACTATTTATCCTTGATTAGACTGGCCAATCAGCATGTTCTTCAGGGCATCTCCTTGGGTTTTTGTTGGGATTATTTGATCTCAATCCCTCATTATCCTTCTTGAATCCTAGGATGGTTAGTTGATTCATTTTGCGATCCAAGAACAAGTATTCTCAATTATATAGAAAAAGCGTGGTGTAATTTGGTAATCACTTGTTTAATCTATGATGTTTCTGGAGTTCCCATTTTGTTTGGCACTTGATATATTGTCTTTTAAAATTAAAGACTCTCTCTCTCACACATACACACAAACACAAACACAAACAGTTTGATGCCATCGTGTTTGCATGCACTGCCATATGTATCTGTGAACCCATGTCCTAATTCCTCATTTTTACTTGGCAGGCGTCTTAATGATAATCAGTTAACTGGGAAAATCCCAAGGGAGCTCACTGGTATTTCCAGCTTGAAAGTTGAGTAAGTGAAGAACCCAGTGTTCAAATTATCAGTACTATATTCATTGTGAGTCATTGGTGACAAGAACATCTGAATGATTTTGCAGAGATGTCTCAAGCAACAACTTGTATGGAACAATTCCTACTACAGGTTCATTTGAAAGAATTGAACATAGATCAATTTTTTAAATTTTGCTTGTCACGTCATTTGGAGAGCTTGGGGAGAAAAATTATGTGGTTGAATCATTTTTCATATATATATAGCTTATCTTCTTCCATTATTTTTCAATTCATTCAACCTCAAATACCTTAATTCACTACGCCAAAATTGGGCTTTAGCAGTGGTTTTTTACCGCCGTTAAAACCTTTAACGGTGGTATTAACGGCAGTTTCGTTACCGCCGTTTATGCGTGTGTCGGAAAAAGTACAACTGTCGTAAAAAGGTAAATTACCGTCGTTAAAAGTCGACCAAAAACGGTGGTAATATAGGACCAAAAACGGCGGTTTTTTACCGCCGTAAATAGGTTCAGATTTTTTCAAAAAGTAATTCTTTCTTCTTGCACTCCCCAAGTTTTGAACCCAAGACCTCTCATCCACCCACACCAACTATTCTGCCATAGCCACTCTTCATGAAATATATTCCCTAAATAAATATTTAAACATTACTTTTACTTTATTGTAGATGGTTTCGTCGGAGCTCGCCGTAGTTTCACCGGAGCACGTTGAAGTTTCGCCGGAGCTCCGCCGGCAAAGACCGCTGTCATTAACGGCGGTAATGATTGGGCATTAGCAGCGGTTTTGTTACCGCCGTTAAAGGCGGGCATTAGCGGCGGTTTTGTTACCTCCGTTATAGAGGGTTTCATTACCGTCGTTAAAGACACTTTAGTGGCGGTTTTTTAACGGCGGTAACGAAACCGCCGTTAATGATAAATTAACGGCGGTATTAATGGCGGTTTTCATTACTGCCGTTAATAGTACCTTTAACGGCGGTTTCCATTACCGCCGTTAATGCCCTGTTTTGGCATAGTGATTTCAAATTCACAACAACCAAAACGAAGCGTATTGCTGCGTTTGGATCATGGATTTCCTCTTACTCCTCCTACCTATTTAATGATCCAAACAGTCTAAACTGTCGTTTGGCAAGTTGGTTTGGGGTGGGTTGGGACTTAAAAAACCACAGTTATATACAGACAAACATGAGGTATGTATCATAAATCTATGAACCAATACCGATTGCAATGAAATTAACGAAAAAGACTCAATTGCAGACCAGATGAACAAGTAGTCAAATCAAATATGGAAGAAAAAACACAGAAATTGCAATAGGGAAAGTACCAAAAACATCAAAGACAAGAAGGATCCCAAGCTTGGAATCAGGGGAACCAAAAATGTAGGTTTTGAGGCATCCAAAGTCCTCCACAAGCACTGCTCCACAGCTTGAGCTGAGGTGGGTCAGAGCATTCTTGCAGCACTGAGCGCTTTCTTGCAGCACTGAGCGCTTGCCATATCAATTTTCACTCTTCAAACAACAATTTAGCAAATCACAGTTGGTCTAGGTACACTGTATGTGTATGAGTGTGTGTATATATATATACTAGTGGATGCCCATGCCTGAAGGCACGGTATAAATAATGTTGGTATCACATACTTTACAAAAATTAATTAAAATAAATTAATTCAAAATGGTAACAATTTCACTGCTACAGAAATCAACTGTAATAAATTAATTTAAAATGACAACAATTTTATTGCAATATAAAACTTTACACATAAGTCGAAATAGCAAATTACAGTTTTGGCAAACTTCATAATTAAAGTTTAAATAGCAAATTTATAATATAAAAATGTTGTGTACAACATAAACAAAGATATTTACGCCAAGATAACACATGTACAGTGAATTAAAATGAGGCAACCTTCAATAAAAGAATGTCTAAATTAGTATTATAACTGAGTGAACATTTTGGTACAAAAGAGTAACCATCCTAACTTTAAAAAAATAAAAAATAAAAAAGAAGAAAAATTAATCATCCAATTTAGAATGAAAGAGCCAACCATCAACACGCATAAAAAAACAACACAATCCCAACATTTGTAAGGTAGATTAGTCACCTGCAACAAAAATTCACTTTAAAAAATCAATTAAAAAAAACAATCATATCAAAATACCTTTGAAAAACAAATAAACCAATAACAATGAATTTATAGGAATTAAACATATGATCAAGCACCTTTCAATTTAGTTCCCAAGTCTCTTGATTAGTGTATATCATAACTTGTGAGTTCACCTGTTGTTGCTTAATGAATATGAATTGCTAAATATAACTCTTCTTTCTTTTCCTTTTCCGATTGAACATGAAGAATTTAACAATTTAGATAATACATGAAAACAAATGAAAATAAATAATTACATCTAATTTGGAATCCCATTACAGGTAGGCTCATGACAAAAAGTTTTGCCCAATTAATTATCATATTACAATTTATTCAAAATTCTCATTATCACTGTTTTTCTTCAATATACTCATCACAGCAAAAGAATGCGTAATGAAAAATCCAATAAAAAAATTTAAATACAAAGATATTATCTTTTGCAATATCATGGACAATTGCCACTTTTATACACCTGAAATTTGAAGGAAAAAACAAATTTAAAAGTCAAAGTCAAAATATATCACTCTAATTGAGTCCCAAGGATTCACAAAAAAAAAAAACAAAAAAAACAAAAAACAAAAACAAAAACAAAAAAAAAAAACAAAACAAAACAATTTATGTTAGTGATGAGAAGAGATCGAACAATTTATGTGTATATATATACTATTCTAGAGAGAGAGAGAGAGACAATGAAAGGCACATGGAGAAGACTTGGATTTGGCATAACATTTACGAATTAATTTCGCATTAATGAGAGGTACGATCGCATAACGTTTACGTCAATTAATAATTTTTTCATTCATTGTGCGATCATATTTGGAAAGCTAGTTATTATTATTATTACTATTTTGTTAAAATAATTAAAGAATTAAAAAGAAAATGTTGGAGATCTCTAATTAAAAGAAAATGCTAGAGGCCCCAAATAACTACCAAATGTTTTACCAAATCTCTCATATGGGTGTGGAACCCACACAAACCTATATGTTTGTATGTGCCACACCATGTGAGAGGTTTGATAAAACATTTGGTAGATTGTTTTGGATCTCTAACATTACTTTTAAAGGAAAGAAAAATACTAGAGACCCCAAATAAACTACCAAATGTTTTACCAAATCTCTTCGATGGGTGTGGAACCTACTTTAATGATGTGAAATGATAGGTGTTAACTTTTGATTAATCACATCTTTAATTATGTAAATTTTATTTTATCATCCCATCATTAATAAAGATATAATTAAAAATGATGAAATTCTATGATTATGTAGATTTTCTAATGTTATTTTAAAAAAATTTAAATTTCTTGATTCAGTTTGATAAAATGAACTAAAAAAGCATAATTTTTCAAAAAACATCTATTATGTAATCTTTTTAATGCGAAATTAATTCTCATTAATACAAAAATAATTATTAAATGTTATGCCAAATCTAACAAGTAAATGTTATACGAAATTAATTAATTCTAATAAGTAAATTAATTATACGAATTTAATTCTCATAATTAATAAATCTTATGCCAAATCTAATAATTAATTCTCATAATTATTAAAAATATGAATGGCACGGGAGAAGAATTCGATTTGGCATAAGATTTAATAATTAATGTCGAATTATGAAAATAAATTTCACATTAAAAGATTACTTATTAGATTTGGCATAACATTTAATAATTAATTTCGTATTAATAAGAATTAATTTTGCATTACAAAGATTACTTAATAGATGTTTTTTGAAAAATTATGTTTTTTTAGTTCGTTTTATCAAACTGAATCAAGAAATTTAAATTTTTTTTAAAAAAAATTAGAAAATCTACATAATTATAGAATCTCATCATTTTTAATTATATCTTTATTAATGATGGGATGATAAAATAAAATCTACATAATTAAATATGTGATTAATTAAAAGTTGACACCTATCATTTCACAACATTAAAGTAGGTCTCACACCCATGTGAGAGGTTTGGTAAAACATTTAGTAGTTTATTTGGGGCTTCTAGCATTTTCCTTTCCTTTAAAAGTGATGCTAGAGACCCCAAACAATTTATCAAATATTTTATCAAACCTCTCGCATCGGTGTGGAACCTACAAATATGTAGGTTTGTATGGGTCCTACACCCATGTAAAAAATTTGATAAAACATTTGGCAGTTATTTAGAGTCTCTAGCATTTTCCTTTAATTAGAGATCTCCATTATTTTCTTTTTAATTCTATAATTATTTTAACAAAATAATAATAATAATAACTAGCTTTCCAAATATGATCGCATAATGAATGAAAAAATTATTAATGGATGTAAAGGTTATGCGATCACACCTCTCATCCTTGGCCCTCTCATCCTTGGCCCCCAAAAAAAATCCCTTTTTTTTTTTTACTTTTAGTAATTGTTTTATAAATGAAGTTAAAAATTTTTATATTTTGGATCCGTTTTATCGTGACGAATCTAAAGGTTTTTTTTTTTTTTTTTGAAAAATTTAAAAAGATTACTTATTAGATGTTTTTTAAAAAATTATGCTTCTTTAGTTCGTTTTATGAAACTGAGTCAAGAAATTGAAATTGTTTTTTAAAAAAAAATTTAGAAAATCTACATAATTAGAGATTTCATCATTTTTAATTATATGTTTATTAATGATGGGATGATAAAATAAAATCTACATAATTAAAGATGTGATTAATCAAAAATTGACACCTATCATTTCACATCATTAAAGTACATTAAAGTACGTCCCACACCTATTGGAGAGATTTGGTAAAACATTTAGTAGTTTATTTTGGGCTTCTAGCATTTTCCTTTCCTTTAAGAGTAATGTTAGGGACTCCAAACAATCTACCAAATGTTTTACCAAACCTCTCATATGAGTATGGGGCCTACAAACATGTAGGTTCGTGTAGGTCCCACACCCATTTGAGAGATTTAGTAAAACATTTGGTAATTAATTGGAGCCTCTAGCATTTTCCATTAATTAGAGATCTCCAACATTTTCTTTTTCATTCTTCAATTATTTTAACAAAATAATAATAATAATAATAACTAGCTTT